TTTTAAGAATTTAATGCATTTACTTAAGATGCAACATAGTGTAAAAGTCAATTATCATTTGTTATTTAAAGTCACGATGTAAAATCTTTAGGTCCAAATTGAAAACAAAAATATAGATAAGTTAACAAGCACGTGTTTTGAATTCAAAAAAGTATTTCTATTCAATATACTATAAATTACGCATGTGCAGTTATGACTAAGTGTAGTATCATACCCACAGGCTGGATTGAATCTATGGATAATAGAGCAAGACTCATATTGAATGACAATTTAGCCTAAAGTATTTAAAAGCGGTGCATTTGTTGTGGTGATGAAAAAATATGTGTATAAGTGTTTCTAAAAATAGAAGCAGCTCTCTAACCCACTTGGCACCATTGTTGTGGTGTTGAAAATGAAAAGCCTTAAGTTTTCTATAAATAGAATTTAGTTACTTATTACCTAATATTTACTTTTTAATGTTCTTAGTTTGCTCAGGAGTACTCTTTAATGGGATAAAATCTAATCGTCAGGATGACACCACCCTTTGAATGCAAAGGGAAATAAAACACAAATGTTGAATAAATTTAAATCAACCAAATTTTTAATGAACTAAGTTTTTATTTACACTAAAAGTTACTTAAAACTAAAGAAGTTGACAAAATGTACTTTAATATAAACTGTTTTTAATTAACCAAAAATGAAATAATCAAAATAAACTAGTTAAATAAAAGATTAAACCAATTAAAAGTTGTTTTAACTGTTCTAAATGAAAATATGAAAAATAACCTTAATGATTCTTCTAATAATTATCTGAATAGTAGCAAGCCCTGTTATAATCTACATCAACAAAAGTAAAGATCTAATGATTCAAGATGGCTGCCACTTTAAACAAAGATAAGATATTAATTAATCTTAATTAACTCTGTAAAAATAATTACTTAAATTACTTACAAATTTATCAAAAATGTTTCAGTGAATTTAGATAATCTCTAAGGTTCATTTAAATGCCAAAGTGCCTAAAATAAATTAAATAATTAATTAATTAACCTTAGAGAGCTTTTAGAGGTCTTACTTTTCCAAAAATTAGCAGCAGAATGACAAGATTGACTGAGATGCTTGTATAAATGGACTTCTGAATCCCAGAGGGAGCTAGCATCTACCTACAGGTGGCACTGTATGTAACAACTTATCTGATTGGTCAAATTACAGCCAACCAGAATTTACTTAACAAATGCTCTAGGCTTATCAGTTCTTTACATAACTAGTCTAAAAATAGATTATGATTCATGGAAAAGTTTAACATGAAACAATATTGACATTTTCTATAAAAGATGATAATAATGACTAAGTAATACAAAGTAATCAAAATAATCAAAATACTAATAAGAAACTAAACATATTTACAAACATATATAATGCTAAATCAGTAACTTGTATCTCACTTTAAAGTTTAAGGATAATATAAGTAAAAGTAGAACCATTCTCTATATGTTGTATATAAAGAGTCTTAGGCCATGCTAAGTTACTGTTAATGAGTGTATCAATAAGTTCTACAAACTATAATCAACATTAAACTAATGAATGATAAGAATGAAATGTCTATAAAACAATACATGTTCAATGATTAAACTTTAAAATAAACTTAAATCTAAGTTAAAGTTTAAACCCTTAATATAATTTCAAAAATATATATGAAGATCATATATGTTATACATCTCTTGTAATATTATACAACATTATGTAATGATTATGTAAGCTGTTGTAAGTGGAATCCAACTTTACAACACATTGTTTTACGAGCTCTTAAGTTTTTAGAACAATCTGTGAACGCTTTTATATTGATAAACATTTCATTAAGAGTGTAGAGTATTCGCTTTTGGAGCCCTTATCCGTGCAGGTTAGTCTATTCATAATTCATACCGTTTCAGGACTGTTCATGAGACTCACAATTCATAATTGCCTGACGGTATGAATCATGACTAGATAAACAGGCACTGATAGGGTTTTTAGTTTTTTACTCTACTTATTTAATGTTTTGATGAAGGTAGCAAAGGATGGGATGAAGCTTACAATGTTACTTTTTTGATATGAAAATGTACTTTATTGCTTACTCTTGTGATTTACAAAGTGAGTTATCAACATTACATTCTCTGAAAATGTACGATATCTTTGAGTAAAAAACATGTGTTGCTTATAAAAATAAGTGTTTGCGTGCGAGTGTGTGCGTGCGTGCATGTATGTGTTCTTACATTAGTGCGTTTGCGTGTGTTTCGCTATCTCTTTGACCACATGCAACTAATTGTTATTTTTATGATACAACACAGACATATATATACCAGCACAATCAATCCGATATTTCAAACTTTTATGTTTGCAGGTTTTTCTGCGTTCTTTATTGATTCCTTTTTTTCACAACTGCAATGTTTCACCATACTTAAAAGATTAAAAGAAAAAAAAGATTAAATATATGGAAAATAAATCACTTTGTTTGTGCTGGGTTTTGAAAAATCGGTCTTCTAAGATACACTGATAATGAAAGTTTTATTGACGAAATATGTATGATAAGTAAACAAGCGTTGACGTCTGAATTATAAATAACTTCAGTTGTGTAACATATATTATTTACATCTAGCTTTAAGACTGCATTATGAAATAAACACAGTTGAATACATTTTGTGATGGGATAAATCCTTTCTTGAAATTTAATAAACATATAGGCAAGGAATTTAAAGAGCCTGAATGAAATGAATATATTTGTTTAAGGAGATACAAATCTTAACACAATTTTGTTTTGAAACTGCTTGACAAAACAAACATATACCTCGCTTTCATTTCAACATTGTAGGTAGGTATTGTTCCAGACCGATAAAGGCATGACTTATAGATTATTTATAACTATTTGTATGATATAAATATTCTAGATGCGTCATTATTCTAAATTACTTGCCGAAAAAATGTCATATAAATACAAATAAACTAGATTGTTAAAGATTCACATGCTACAATTCATATTAATAACAAACGCATAACAGTTTTTTGTTTTACGTTTTAAGATAGGTTGGAAACAGTGAAGGAATTGTATAATAAAAGTGACAACAAATAAAACCGTTACAATGTTAAGGAAATCCGATGATTCAAGAGAGAACAGAAGCGGAATAAAATACTTGTTTCTAATAGCATGTTTATGTCAGTTAATAGGTAAGTTCAGTTTCTTAACTATGCTTTCTCGAAACCATTAAATCATTTACAAAATAGGTTAATTACTTACAGTATAGAATTTGTATTCCTTTATTTTCCGTAGGCAGATATGTGATAAGTGTCTTATTTTAAAAGCAAAGACGGACATCAAAAGCATGTTATACTCTTACATGTATTAATAAATATATTTACAAATCAAATGCTGCAATAATGCATAAAATTTAGATTACAATAGACACTCCATCTGAAACATTTTATATATCTGGATAGATCATTTGAAAGTGCCTTTTATTTTCTTCAGTATTTTTAATTAAACATTTCGTTTTAAACGCTTTGGTTTGATTTGTAAAATTGTATTAAACTGATTTTCCATATTAAATTCAGCATATTCACACATTATTTTTCTTTTTAGATGTTTTGGAAGCGAATGTTTCATTAACAGCATATGGCGACATTGCTTCAGATGGACGTCTTAAATGTAAGGGTCAATGTGTGCTCGTCTGTAAAGTCAAACGAAACTCATTTTCTTTTACATGGCAAATAAACAAACAAATTGTTTTTGAATGTATCAATAATATATGTAACACTCATGGGACAAATTATAGATTTTCATTTGATAGTGCTCATGGCATATTTAACATCTCAATGGACAAGATAACATATGCAGACAATTTTAAGCAGTTTAAGTGTGATGATGGATATGAGTCAGCGTCATTTACTGCAAGAATTAAAGGTAAAGTACAAGTTATTTGAATAATTTATTGCTTGTTGTACATGTGTAATCATTATAAGTTGATGAAAAGTACATAAAACTCTTCTTCATTGTAATTTCTTGAAAATCAAATAAAAGGAAAAATCAGAAATGTTTTAATTTTTGAAACTTGATTACAAAGATCACGGCAGAATTCACTGACAAACAACAAAATCAAAACCACTTTGAAAAGAGAAAAACATCGGACAAAGTAAAGGGCAAACTTAATTAGCAAGGGTGCGACGTCGACACAAGTAAAAATTAAATCAAAGAAACAGTCGAGCCAGGGCGGGACACTTACAGAAGAAAAACCAAGGGTTAACCTGTGTCAGAGGACTGAATACTCATATTAAGAAAAACACTTTTGAAGAGTATCATATTAACCGCATTGAGTCTATTAATACACCATTTCTTGTGTTATTTTACCCTGCAGTACTTCCATTTATAAAATAAGTTGACAGATGTAGTATGTAGCACTTGATATAACACAACGATTGGTATCATTTTATTTAATAAATTAGAATTTCTTATTTGCTAGTGATACCAGAATCTAGCGCTACAACAATCAAGTCGTCAAGTGATTCATCGTCAACTACTACTATTAAAGTTACGACAGGTTGCCTTTCGCCTAGTACAAGTGTCTCTTTTACATGGTACTATTTTAAGGTAAATACAAGTAAATATGTTTTCGATATTAAATAAGGTATTAGATATACAAGTCGTCAGTTTTCTTGTATTGTTTCCAAAAATTGTTTAGAACTATACAACTTTTCAGTTAATTATAGATGCAACTCAATAAGGTATAGGTCTTGTTTGAAACATGTTCAGATGTTGTTCTTCTTTTTTCAAGAAACATCAGAACTAAAGAGGATTGTCTCATAAAAATCAGCAAATTTCTGTCAACGTATATTTTTTTAATTAATATGAACACTTGGATTATTTTTATTATTATTTTCATTTCACATATGCATAGGAAGAACAGATACCAGTTTTATTTGAGGAAAGGCTACCATTAGAATCAACTGACGAATATGGCTGTATAAATGGACATTGTGGAGGAAAAGGGGTTGTCAAGGTTACCAGTAGATTGACCATTGACGAAGATCCCGATGGAGAATATTATCAGTTTAAAGTTTTGGTCAATCAGACTGATGCAGCAGAGTTATATATTAAAACAGATCGTAGATTTAAACTAAAAGGTATGAAAATATGGTTTTGGCTATAAAACTTCATTCCCTAGATGCTACCTGTAAACATTCAGTCGACGTTCTACATGTTTCTTTGTCTGTACAAATACATTATTAGGTAAATATTACATGTTTCATTAAATACATTGTTGCGACACCACATCTTAACATAACCAGTCTTTTCCTTTTATAATCAAATTAAAGTAAAGTAATGTTTTTCAGGGAAGTAGAACAATAAAATTACAACTCATGCCATAAACGTTGTTCGGGACGGAAGTAAAAGAGTACAGACCGAAACAAGTTGGTTAATGCTATTCACGTATCTCTGGATAATATTACAATAGTGCCTCATGTAGTCGAAAACATCGCTATCAAAGCGTTCGGAACACGCGCTATTTTTAATATTTATTTTAAACGTATGATTGTATATTAAATTTTGTTTTTATCTATTTGAAAAAAAGACTCCTTCAAAAAGTTAAACGTGTTAGGGATAAATGAAATTTACTAAAAAGAACCTATTTTGTCAAAATATTAAATGTATTTTATAAAGTTGAACTAATCTTGAAAACGACACACGTTGTTGGCGGGATAGAAGATTGGGCATGTTATATATTTCCGTAGCTATGTGATCTGAAAAAAGTGCTATTCGTTGATACACATGTGACACTTTTAAGGGATAATGTTTTTTCATAAAACAGCATTGAAGAGATTTGTTGTTTGTTACGTCATGTAAAGATGTGTTTCATTACAATTTATGTTTAATTTGCTTTAGATTTTTCACTTACTAGTCCTCCTTTTTGTTTCATAAATTAACTGTTTATTTTTGATAATTGTTTTAAGGTTGATAAGTCCGTCATTTCAGTGAACATTTTCTAAAGTTTCCTTGATCTCTAGTTTGAGCTCACTGAAAAAAGCGGAATAGCCCTCCTTCACGTTTTACAATTGAGTTGTTTAATTTAATAATTTCAAAGACTCCTTGATCTTTATTTCGAGTTTCACTGAAAAAGGCAGATTATGTTTTTTTTTATATTTTATTATTGTTTAAAGTTGAGTTTTTTTTTTGCTTGATTATTGTATAAAGTTGGATTAGTCTGTCATTTCCGTAAATGATATTTAAAGACTCCTTGATCTTTATTTTTAGTTTAATTGGAGAAGGCGGACTAGTTCTCATTGAGTTTTTTAGTTTGTTTATTGTTTAAAGTTGGATTAGTCCGTCATTTCAGTTTATGATTTCTTAAGACTCCTTGATCTTTAGTTTGAGTTTCACTGAAAAAGGTGGACTTATCCTCCTTAATGTTTTACATTTGAGTTTCTTTTTATTATTATGATTGTATAAAAGTGAATTAGTCCGTCATTTCGGATAAAGATTTCTAATAACCTCTTGATCTTTTTGAGATTAATTGGAGAAGGCGGAATTATCCCCCTTCGCGTTTTATAATTAAGTTTTTTAGTTTGGTTATTTTTTAAAGTCGGATTAGTCCGTCATTTCAGTTACTGATTTCTAAAGACTCTTGATCTTTATTTTGAGTTTCACCGAAAAAGGCGGACTTATCCTCCTTCATGTTTTATAATTGAGTTTTTAAGTTTTGGTTATTTTACTCCGTCATTTCAGTTTACGTTTTGTAAAGACGTCTTGAAAAATGCAAAGTATTTGATTTTACTTAGATTGAAATAGGCTGACTAGTCCTCCTTTTTGTTTTTATAGTTTTTAGTTTTGAAAATTTTTTATGTTTAAATGCGTTAACATTTTCTAAAGATTATTTGAAAAATATTACGTCTTTGGTTGACGTTACATTGAATAAGGCGGACTAGTCCTTCTTTATGTGTTATAATTGAACATTTTGTTTTGATTATTTTATAAAGGTGGATTAGTCAGCCATTTCAATTACTTTTTGCTAAAGACTAAAAAATGTGGATAAGTCGTCCTTTGTTTTATTTTGCTATAAGATCTTTGATAAAATACATGTTCTGGAACTAAGGGTGATTAATCCACCTTTTACTAGTTTGGAATTATTTGTAATAATATTTAAACTTGATTACATGTGTTTTCCTTTTTATTACATCAACAATCCAAGTCCTTATTTCAATATTATGTTGCAATTTTGATTATTTCGAAAACAGTCCTCCTTCATTTAGTGAAAAAGATGACCCTAAAATCGCTTATACTGCCCCAATTAGGAAAATTTTGAGCAAATCCCTTATTATAATATCAGCTGTTGAGTATTATTTAAACATAAGATAAACCCGACGAATCACGCAAAATATCATTGAGGTTTAACATAAACAACTTTTACAACTTTGAAATAAATAGTAGGCGAGTTCAGACATTTATTTCTTTCACAGCTTAAGTCTGGAACAAGCAGACACACTAGATTGGTGTAATCCTAATTTATGTAATTCACGTAAGGGTTATATTTAACTTCCTTAATCAGGGTAAATGCTCAACAAAACAATATAACACAACCGCAAAGTCAACACGAAAAATACGACATTCTACGATATCAGTTGAAATCAGTCATTAGTTTAAACTCCTTAGCAAATTGTGATATTTATACCACTGCTTGGTTTATAGAAAGAACTCAATTAAATCTAAAGAATAATAAAACAGACGCGTTTGAAGAAGATTTATTTGCATCAACTTATTCAAACATATTTTATATAAGAATAAGTGTTAAACAACTAGATCCCGACACCGATTACAAATAATCACTGTAGGTTTGATCTCAATAATGCCTGAAATATCTTACTGAATTAAATTTCAATGCAAAATCAACTACATTAAGAAAAACGTGACAAATTAATTGACAGAAATACCATATAACCGCATGAGCATAATTCATCTTAATGTTTGACAAATATTGGATGGGCGGCGCACGTTAGCTAAGTAAAGCTATGAAAGCAAACATGTAAAAACATGTAGCTGAAACACGTCATGTTTCTAAATATTGTAAACAGGTAACACAATTGCCTCACTTTGCTACGTTTTGAAACGACAGGGATTGATCATGGTTTTCTCAAGGTTATTTCTTTTTTCTTTCACGATATTAATTACTTCCTAACTTTGCTTCTTTCTCTTTTAAATATCGTTCAATGTTATTAAGAATATAAATTCCTCAGTTTGTAAAACATGCATACTAATATCTTTGTATAACAACGGTGATTCTTTTTTGGAAATTTGTTTTCCGCTTGAAACTATCCCAAGAAAATAAAACGAATAAAATATTGCCTAACTTTAAACCGTTTTTCAAAGCCTATGAGTAAGTGACAAAAATAGGACAAGTCATAAATGATATCAGCATGGGTCGTTTATGGTGCACTTAATCTAAAAGAGTAAATTTAAATCGATACAATACATGTTTACACTATTGTATTTATAGGTTTATTTTGTCAATATCCTGTTCATTCATTTATAGTCATAACTTTGATATTCTCTATTATAACTTGACTATACCCTTTATTTCTATCATTGATACAAATTTAAGTTGATTCTGTTCATTATCATTTTATTGTTTCATTCAGACGAATGTTTAACCACTTAGTGTTTCAAAAGCGGGCCTGATGACATGCTATCATCTAAACAAATGTCATTTTAAACTCTTGTCTTGATATTTTTCAATCATATTATGGTGTAGGTTGTATATAGAATCGTAAATGATGGATTAATTTAAGTGCAGGCTTCCCTTCGAGTTCCGAACATTCATTGTTAAATGAACAATAACACTGGTGTTTGATACAATAATTGCTTTCAGCACAGTATATATTTACCGTAAAAGAAAAAAACTAAACGCTTCAAAGGTTATGTAAGCCCTTATTCGTCATGATGATATAATATTAAAAATACTATATAAATGTATAAATTTTCTTTTATTACTGCTGTATATTGTTTTAAGTTGTGTAGTCTATTGCTATAACATTTCAAAATGTATATTACCATGCACCGTAAAATATTGATTTGACATTTTACTTATGTTTAACAATAATGATAGATGTATATTAAACTTATTCGATAATATCGGGGAAATCTTGTGCCTATGTTTAAACAATAATCACTGTCGGGTTCAAAAAATGCATTTTGATAATTTAAAAGATAAACGCAATGCCTTGCAAGCAATAATAAAACTGATTATCATAAGTCAAGTAATACGATAACTAGTACATTACAAGATCATTGAAAATAAGTTAAATCGTGTTCAATAAATAAACACCTTGAAATGGTTTAAATTTAAAGAATTGACCGGGGAAAAAACACACACAAAACAAGCAAGCCAAACAGGTTGAATATCCACCTTGATCTTATTAAGTAATCAATAACATTATCGATATTGTTCATATCAGATCTGAAAAACATCTTTATAATTTTAATTTATAGACCTTGGATTTTGCGATACATCTTATATCCAAAAGATGCTATTGAAGTTAACCAAACTTACAAAGCAAAGATATTTAGGGAAGCAAGTCATGTCATAAACATTTATAGAATGCGAAACTAAAACGCCTACATGATATAAAACTGACTTGACATAACGAAGTCATAATTTATCAACGACAATTCGCCTAACTTGAGCTTATCATTCAACGACAGAGCCAAACGTGGACTTTGTCAAAAGTGTCCAAAATTTATTAAACGTCTGACTATCTCACAATTTCATCATTTTTCAGATATTTTCGTGTTTTATCTATTGGAAATAACAAATTAGATGTGTGTATCAAATGTGACTTGTTTTAAAAGATGTTGTTGTTTTGAGCTATATTGATGATTATGCTATCTTGAAATTACCCCTGTATGAATAACTTTTAAGGTTGCCGAACTTCGGTTAGGTTGCCGAACTTCAGTTAATGTTTGCAAAATTACATTCTCGTATATACCTGATACATGACCGATTTAATAATTTCTAGATCAATATTTACACTAACTCTTATCATTGTATGTCACGAGATTTGCACTACAGTTAAACTGGGTGACGATTCACCATGCCATAGTTTTGAAAAATCTATGCTATTTTAGTTGAGGTATGTTCAAAACGTTCGTTGACTGCATGTATACTGTTTTCCATCTTCTTACTTGCGTACACGATTAAAATAGGAAGTGAAGAAAATTTAATATCTGATGTTTACAAGCTACAATGCATCGTGTAAATTACAAACAGCAAGGCGTATTTGATCCGCTGCAAGTTCTCATTGCAGAATTTATTTCATCGGGTGGTATGAAAATAAATATTTCACGAGTGGCAGTTGGTTCGAGTGAAATACAATTTTTATACCACAAGATGAAAATAAATCTTGTATGTTTTATTTTCTGTTTATTACATGTATATTCTTTTTTTCTCTTTTTTTAACCTCATAAATAGAAAGAATTGAATTTTAATTTTGTGTATTGGCTTAAATTACAAGAAAGTAATCCGGCAAGGCAACAATGAAATTACGGAAAATATGCATCACTGCAGTGAAAAATAATATTTTAGAGAGAAAAATACGGAAAATTAAAATACGCAATTTATGTCGTCAATATTTCTCAATGTTTTATTTATAAGCATATAATCAGTACAAATATCACCATTATTTTGATGATGGAATGAGAGAATGACGGAAGGACGGAACACGGTGACACTATAAACCCCAGTTATAAAATGATTTAGATAAATTGTGTCACGAGAATTCAAAAGACCGTTATGTGTTTTAATGAATACAGTTCATATAGCAGAAAATGGTCAATTGGCGGGTAGGAAATCACGCTACTAGAAAATATCAAAGAAAGATGCAATAAATAAAAAAAGACATATTGTGTGATCTTTGACAACAGCCTACATCCATTAACATAAAAGGTTATTCTCATAAAAACCCTATACGGATGCCAGTTATGGGAAACAGCTCCTAGAGCGAGCATACAGGCAATGTATCAGAACGATGCAACCTGCCCAAGGTAAGGCAAAAATAAAACATAACTTGACATTTCGTCATAATGGTTTTGAATTTTATATTTTTAGATAAGAAAAAGCATGATCCCGTGACCAACAAAAAATTCTACAAATAATGTTCAGATTGAATCGGAAACGCTCAATAATTAAAAAGAGTGGAACAGTCTCAGGTAGTCTTTATATTGTATCATAAACAATTTTCATTATCAATAATTAGTCAATCACCATAATAATTAACGGTACTTGAAATATACCACTAGGTCATACATCAAAATAACATTCATATTAAAAAAAATGCCATCATGTGTACAATCAATATACAAAACAACCTCCTGTTTGCATTTTTATTTCATATAATGAAGTTTGTTCAGCAATTGATATGAACATACGCATAGGTGTGAATATATTAAGAACTCCCGATTCTAAGATCATATTGGAAACAAAACAGTCTTAAATATATGTGAAATTTATAATAAAACATAAAGACTTTATCACCTATTTTCATTATAAGATTTAATTATTGTGGGTTTTCTAAGCAAGTATTTGCTGAATGTCATTTTATTAATTTAAAAGTGTTCCTCTAGACTAGTATTTTTTAACTAATCATTTTATGACATCCCTATGTAAAAGCCGTCTCAGGTGCAATACGCCCGTATCACAATGTAATCACTTAAACGTCAACTGACCATGGTAACTGTTTATAGCTTGGTAGCTTGGTAGTTTAGCAACTAGGCATGTTTACCTTATATGCATGTATATGTATGATTCGTATTTTCAGTGCATCCTCCCAACAACAGCCAACAGCCGGACAGTCCAACATAGGCTGTTGCTCGGGTGGTTTGCGTCATGGATGAAACTTTAATTGTTTTTTATGTTATTCAGTTGTGTAGAGTTGTAGAAACACACATGACCTTTTCAAGTTGTTATCATCTGTATATAGAATTCATTACTTAAACATTTTAATGCTGACCGACGAACACGGTTTTATCATAAAAAACCTTCATGCCTTTTATATTGATGCGGACTTGCATGAAATTTCCCGTGCAGAATCCTTTTTAAAATTGTCGAATACGTAGGACATCAAAGCCTACAGATTAATAACCTTCCGAAATGTAAGGCAA